AAAAATTAAATTGGCGAAAAACGAAATTCGCTTTGACTTGTAGCTTTCGAAAGGTGATTCGGGCGCTCGCTTTTAGTGGTCGTGAAAAATTCGACAATTCATTTTATTTCAAAATTCTTGGTATAGTTTGATAGCCAGGTCTATAAGCTTTAATCTGATATAGGGGTTTAGGTATCTACAGCTTAAACTGCACGCGCTACATCGCTTGCACGTGAGACACCCCTGAAGGTATACTGTAACCTTAAGCTGTATTGGGAGTCTTGAATGTGAAAAAAGGAGGCTTCGCTGGTTCATTCTCACTAAATAACCCTCCCCCCACGGTACTAAGACATTGGGATCGCAGTATTTACGCCGGCGGAGACAACGAGATTCATACTAACAAGAGTATTTAATGAACAAAACAATGGCTCTGCTACACCTGATTTTCGAATTTCATTGGCGGAATTCTTTCCCCTCTTTTCTCATCAGATGCAACGTCAAATGAGTAAGGGGTGCTTTAATTCGGGAAATCTGTGTTAAATATTGAGATCTTAAAATCCATGCGAGATCGTCGAATCTCCAATGGGAAGACAACTGCTGAGATCTGAAAACGAATTTTGCGGCGGATTTTGTCTAATTGAAATCCTTCCCAATTCAGTTCCCGGGTAATTCGCCTACTTTTCACTAGCTGGCTCGTTAACGTAGTCGTCGTAGATCTGAAGGTACCTAATATGCAAAAGCTACGACTGTGATGCAAATAAATGCTGAAAGTGTATGAACTCCCTTTTCAGGTGACAAAATTTGTTTTGCAATTAACGTCTTTCATGTACTCCTTGTGTGCAAATTAATGTGTGGCCTAGCGTTTCACGTTTTGCGGCTTTCTTGGCAAAAACGGCTAAAAACTCGTTCTAGGCTGCTCATTCCTTAATACAATTCTCTTGTTGCGTTTAAGCAAGTTTATTAAACTTTTCAGCCTCGGATATTGCGTTTCTAGTATCCTTATTGGCTCACTAAATCACGGTTATTAGCTCATATACCGCAGTTTGCCCTGATATGGAAATGATCGCGCGCGCAAGTGTTGCCAAGCTGAAAAATTTGTCTCGGGACATTTTCGACTACATAATTTCGAAACGTTCACAATTTAATAAAATTTATTATTATCTGGCTGTGTCTCATAAGGACTGGGAACTACCGAATTCATGAATTTGACTGGCTGAAATCGATATTAACCGCGGTCTAGATTTTCCCAACTAGACCGGCATCTAGACCAGTTTCATTTTGCGTTGAAAGAGTAGCAAACTAAAATACAAAAATGTTCACCGTTTTCTT